ATGAGCAAATACACAGAATCTCCTAATCAGTCTCAGCCTTAACTGGACCGCAGGGCAGCCAGATGTTCTGTGAAGCCACAGAGAACGTTCCCATCAGCTATGAAGAATACCCACCCACAGAACTGAACATGAACCTAACCAAAACTCTCAAGTTGACCACTAATTTAAAGGAAGCATGGTGGATAGGAGATATGAAATGACACCACCAGGCGGACGGCATCAGCCAAATCTAGAGTGCAAGCCACCCCGACAGTCTACGCACAGGGACTTGGTTTCTTCAATAACTCAATGGCATGGGGAATAAAGGATGAGTGGGGGCTGGGGATGTGGCTCAAGCGGTAGCGCGCTCGCCTGGAATGCGTGTGGCCCGGGTTCAATCCTCAGCACCACATACAAACAAAGACGTTGTGTCCGCCGAAAACTAAAAAATAAATATTAAAAAAAAAAATTCTCTCTCTCTCTCTTTAAAAAAAAAAAAGGATGAGTGGGTGACTGTAAAGTGTCACAAAAGGGACCTAAAGGGTAAAACAACCAAAGAGAATTTGGGGTCGTTGTTTGAACACTGATTATGAGAGAGGGGAGACTGAAAGACAGAGAGAGACAGACAGGAAGGACCAACAGACTAAATATCCTCTAAGATGATACAGAGAAATGTGAATATAGTCAGCATATTAGATGTATTAAGCAATTACTGTTATCAATTATTGTAACTTTTGTTAGGTGTGATAATGTTTAAAATAACAAAATTGAGTAAAGATGTCACTTGGTACTGGTAAAAGGACACAATGTCTAGAATTTGTTGCAAACTGCTTCTGAAAATAATGATAATAATGGCGGGGGAAGGTAGGCCATATAAGATTGGTGAAGTGTTGATAATTACTGGTGCTGGTGACGACACATGATGGTTCGTGATACTCTACTTTTCTGTACAATATTTTGTGTGGTTTTTTTTTTTTTTTTTTTTTTTAGTGAGGTGATCAATAAATTGGGGTCAGAGAAAAGCAGACAAAAAGATCAGGATGGTAACAGAGGGCTGGAGAAGAGGAAGTACTGGTTGCCTAGGAATTTCAAGACCAGAACAAGGACCAGTATGTCAAGAATAAGACAGAAAAACAAAAGAATAAGACAGAAGAAATGTCAGTGTCCTGGATTAGCTAAAGACAGCAAAGTTCTACAGTTATGAAAAGTCACCATTGAAGGCAGGGGAGCCCCTCTGAACAGCAGGATGAGGTGTGGCTTACCTGAGGAGGGTAAAAATAACAAATGCCAGCTCGGGTGGGATCTCCTTCCTCCTTCACCTTGGAGCCATCATAGAGAAAAAAATAATTCCACCTGGCGAGAGAAGAGAGTGGGGCCATGTTTCCCTCCACGTGGTGGCAACGGCAGCTGAGGACAGGGCCTCCTATCTCCCAGCCCAAGCAGCCTTGTCACTCAGTGTCTGAGCCTTCTGGTGGCCCCAAGAAGAACAAACCCAGTCGCTCCGAATAGATAAAACCAGTCCTTAAGTGCAGAAGAGGCAAACTAAAAATACACCTCTCTCCAGCCGTCAGACCATCTGCCCACAAGAACGCAAGTGGCAGGAGGAAAGACGGCGCCCACGACAACAGCCTGTCTGCAATGCTGAGCCTCAACTGTGAGCCACGTGGCCTGGCACCCGCCTAAGGCTCTGGTAACAAGTTAGGGGCATCTTAGTTGCCCTCCTCACAACTGCTGAGTGCGATGACCCCGGACAGCCCTTCCACCAGGAATGCATGCACGCATCTACGCAGGGCCCACGGTGTGCTCTGCGCCTGCTCAACAGATATGCAAGGCCAACGCTGGGCACTGTGGAAGGGAAAGGGGCTTCGCGAGTTCAGAGGAACACTGAACCCTCTCTGCCCCTCCAAACGTGACAGGGCTCCAGGGGCTCGCTTAGTCAGCTTCCTCCCAAACCTTCTGATTTCCTGACCCAAAGGAACCTCTTTCTTCAAGTTTCCCTGACCCTCCTCTTTCCTAAAGTCCCTTACAGCCTACTCTGCAGGATAATAATTATTACATAATTCTCATTATCTGATTCCCTCTTTAAGACCACAAAGCCAACTCCCCAGAAGCTGGATCGTGCTTTTACTTCTAAATCTCAAAAAGGACATTTTCCAGGCTGTAGCATACAAGGGACATGTGACCACCTGGCCATCCATACTCTTCTCACAGGGGCCTGTGCCCTCTCGGGCCTCCCAGCTCATCACTTCGGATTCCAGCATGATGCACCTTCTTGAGTTCCAGGGCTAGATGGGAAACCAGCTGCAGGGCAAGCCCAGACCAAGAAGGCTCAGTGCTTCAGGGCCACCCAGGGACCGCCAAGCCCTGGCCCTGTCCTCCCCCTGTCCCACATTCCAAGCCTGGGCGCCACTCTCAACTGCTGCTCCCTCTTTCTTCCGTGTGTATGATCAGTCACTAAGTCCTGCTGAATCTAGTTAAACCCTTTCTCTTCTGTATTAATGTCTGGTGAACCGAATTATGAGAAAGTATTAAGTCATATGAGGCTGAGTGGGAACTGAGCTTCAGGAAGAAACCCTTCCTGAGCTAGACGAGCCACCAGCTAGACTGGGCAAACCTCTTCTCGTGATGAAATTCTCCACTGCAACTATTCCTCAGCCAGGTCATTCTCAAAGTGGACTACACGGTTTTTTCCATGGTCTACTAAGATGTTGGACTCACTCAAACACTGCAAGAGGCTTGCGAGGTTAAAACGCTAGCTCTAGAGAGAAGAGGCCTGCAAGCTCCATGTGGCTACTCAAAGGAAAATGACCTTGTAATTTTTTTTCTTAAAAAATCAACACGATCTGGCTGGGGATTTTCAATTCACCCAGATCTATCTAGAAGCCTGGCGAAAGGTCTTGGTACTCACCAAGGGGCTGACTTTGTCTCTGGGGAGGTAGAGGTGGCCATTTACTTCTCAGTCAGCCTCATCCTCTTTATTTGGATTTCTTTTTCCAGTATCACTTCTTGCTCCCCAGCTGTGTCCCCATTGCAGAGAAGCTGGGTGTGGTAGGGTTAGGTGTTTTCTATCTTGATTGCCACTTCTTAGTTTTTATTCGGATGAAAGTGCTTCTTCCTTTCCGTGTAGCCTCTTCAGTTTCATGAATATCTCTACACCTTTTGGAATTCAGAATATAATAAAGTAAGAGAAGTCAAATCCACCAGTCTGGTTCCATGAGCATCAGCATGGCTATCTACACAACAGCACCTTCAAGCTCGACTCCAGGAAAACTCCACTGGGCAGATATGTGCTGGATGGAGGCAGTGTTCCGATGAGATTTCGAATGTGGCTAGTTCAAAATCATCCTGATAGTTCTTTCAAATGCTCTGAAGCATCCAGTCCAAAGGTCAGTGCCTTGGCTCTGAAATAAACATAAGGAATAGATTATTTCAGAAACCCACAAGCAAGCATGTGACCCAGGCAGGGTTAAATAAGTGGTATATTTCAAAAGAGCTTTCTACAACGGTTAAAATTATGCTCAAAATTAAAAGGGAGGGCGTTAGCAGAGACTTCAAAGTAAGTGCCGTAATTTCTCCAATAGTTATGGTAAACACACAACAAGCCTCACAGAAGAAAAATTAATTGATTAGTATAAAAAAGCACAAGGTGTTGAGAACAGCTGTCCCAATAATGTGGCTGCTGTAGTAATAATGGAAACTAAATTAAGGAACTGTCATTTTGACAGCCCAAAGTAATCTGAACATGCACACTCTCAGAGCTGAGCAATTTTGCAAAATGCAAAAAGAGAACTTTCCCTTAAGTAGGTTTCAAACTCCCACAAGAGAAAGACAACTCAGTGGGACTTCAGAGTCAGAAGGGATCCTGGCCTCATTTACTCTAATCCTGGTCCCTGACTCTCCACCCAAAGCTCCCTCCACAGCCTCTGGCTTAGCCCTCCAGAGACAGGAGGTTCATAATATTCAAGTCATCCTTCCATCAAACCCAAAATCTGCTCCCAATAAATTCCACTCACTGGTCTGGACACTCTCCAAGAAAACCCAAAACACGGTTTAATCCTTTCATGTGACAACCCCTTGGTCACTTCAGAACTGTATTCTTTTTATTGCTTTCTCTAAGCTTAATGTCCTCAGTAACATGGTCTCAAATACTTGCCACCATTCTGTCATCTGCAAGAACCCAATAATGGTTTGCAAGTTTCTCTGGTAGAGAGGTCTGTAGAGAGGACTGCGGTGCATCTCAGGTGGTCTGTGCAATCTGATCTTTTCTCAGCGAGACTTTTGGGGGCGCCCCCCCACACACAGGCCACACTCCCTAGGTTCTACAGCGCCTGCGTGGGCACCTGTGGGGGCAGCACCTCATTTCCCAGAACCAAGAGCAGCCTGAAAACTCCATCCCTCCCGTTCCCACAGGACTGGGCCCACGCTACCGAGGGCCACTATCTTATCTCCGAAAGGTCTAAAAAAAACCTGTGATGGTTCTGGGCAGGGACAGGTGTCAGGGTGTGACCAGAAAAGACTGGCAGCCTAGGAAGTGGCAGGAGCGTCATTCCTCACGCTGCCAGAAGTGGACGGGAACGGCCCGGGATGGTGGTACTGTAGGAAGTGACCTCGGTGGGCTACAGGAGGACTGGCAAGGGGGCGCTAATGGCTGCGAAGGGCCAGGCGGCCGGAGGGCACGAGCCCCGGGGGCTCAGGAAGCGACCGGCAACCGCGCGAGGCTCCCCGACGTGCCCGGCTCCCGCGCTGGGGTCTGGGAAACGGCGGGCAAAGGCGCGGGGGTCGAGCGGGTCCCGCCCGCGGAGTCCCCACGCCCTTCCACCCACCGGGACGGCCAGCCTGCCAGGGGCTCCGGGTTCAGGACTCGGAACCGGAACGTGGCGGCGGCCGGGCGCCCGCGAGTCCCGCCCGGCACCTACGCGCGCCGCGGAGAGACCCAGGTCACGCGCCGCCCCGCCTCCCGCCCCCCCCCCCACGCCGGCCGCGAGCCGCCGCGCGCTGGTGACGTCAGGCCGGCGCGCCGCTCGGCGGTGACGTCAGGGCCAATGGCGGCGGCCGTGGCGCTGGAACCCTGGGTGCAGGCGGCCCCGCGAAGGAGGCGCTCGGCGGCGGCGAAGCGGCCGCGGCGGAGGGAGGCGGAGGTCGGCGGCCGGGAGGCAGAGCCCGAGGCGGACAGCGGAGTCGTGCTGCGTCGGCTCCGGGAGGCCCAGTGAGTGCGGGCCAATCCTGGCGGGCAGAGGCGCCTCGCAGGGCTTCGGTCGCCCTAGCTGTACGGTGGGGACGGGGACGTGCTGCGCACCTGTCCTGGGGCCACTGTGAGGCTTTAATGCAGGCGACTCGCCCGCTGCGGACCCGGTCTATTGTAAGCGCGTCTCGTTCCTCCTGCGGCAGTGACAGCTGCGCCCATGGCGTTCCCCTTTGTGGGACGGGCTTGCAAACACGGCCCGCGTAGGTCAACCCCGGGATTCCAATGCAGTGGACGGAACCGTCTCCTGCCCGCGGAGAGCGCCGGCCGGGCATGGCGCTTCCCGCCCGGCCCGAGGTTGGTTGGTGTTGGTATTAGGAACACGTGACTGTCACCACCACCATTAGTTTTGGGATGGATGCTGTGTGCCTAGCACTGGCTTAAACCGTCTACACACGCTGTTAGAATGCTGGTAGCTCAAAGAGACATGGGCGAGGCATGGAACCAGTTTCCAAATTCAGATCGTTGTGACTCCAAAACCTGTGCTTTCATCTTGTCATTATTCAGGACTCTTATTCTACCCAAATCCCCCCATACCCTGCCCTGTAGTTAGAAAGCACAGCAGTGCCCAACACAGGAGGTATTTAGTAAATGCTACCTACTACTGTTTAGTATTTTTATTTACTTGCAGTCCTGTTAGAGCTCAATAACTAACAGCTTTAGCCGTGATTCAGATCAGTGAGTGAAGAAATATCACAAGAGATAGAAGTTAGATTAATTTCTACCAGAGGGTCCTGTGAATCCAAACCGTTAACCAACTGGTTGAGACTGGGAAATAAAAACAATTCTTTCTAAGATCTCTGAAGGTGCAATGAAAGTGAATGTGTCTTGGGGCTTGGGGTAACTGTGTGTGAGAGTGACAGTGGTCTCACTAGGTTGCCCAGGCTGGCCTAGAATATAGATCCTCCTGCCTCAGCCTCCTGAGTGCTTTTCCCTATCTGTTTTAGTTGGCTTTTTCACTGATGTGACTAAACGACCTGACCAGAACAACTGTAGTAGAGGATAAGTTAGGGGGCTCACAGTTTCAGAGGTCTTAGTCCATAGAAGGCCAGTTCCATTCCTTGGGGCTGGAGGTGAGGCAGAGAGAACATGGTGGAAGAGTATGGCAGAGGAAGCATCTCACATCGTGATCAGAAAGCAGAGAGACTCCACTGGCCAGATACAATCATAAGCCCCTAAGCCATACCCTACCCTTTAATTACCACTCACTTAATCCTTATGGGGATCAATTCACTGATTGGGTTAAGACTCTTATAAGCCAATAATTTCTCCTCTGAACCTTCTTGCATTGTCTCACATGTGACCTTTTGGAGGACACGTCACATCCAAACCACAACAATATCTCTATTCACTGTTATTTCCTCAATTTCTTCAGAATCTCCCAGGAGCTCCCCGCTTCTCCCAGCACTCCTCTATGTCAAGTCACCACTGCCCTGGATAGGGAGGGGCCCAGGCTCTACATGCTGACTATGCACGTATTTGCCAGTTGACAGCATTGCCATGCAGAGTGGAGCTCTGCTTTACCTGTTGTGAGGAACCTGGGCAACCTCTGGGCAGATGTTTTTCAATACTGTCCACTCCTTCCTGAACCCCCTAAATAGTCCCTGGTTTATGGCTTGTGGAAGGCAGATGACCTGAGCAAAGACACCAAACACTTGATTTGTCTCTTCTTTTACTCTCCCCTTAGAATCTTTTTTTAAAAAATATTTATTTATTTATTTGGTTAGGCCAATACCTTTATTTTGTTTACTTATTTTTATGTGGTACTAAGGATCGAACCCAGGGCCTTGCGCATGCTAGGTGAATGCTCTATTGCTGAGCCACAACCCCAGCCCCCTAGAATCTTTTTTTAAAATCTTTTTTTTTTATTGTGGCAAAATGCACATAACATAGTTGATCATCTTAACCATTTTTAAGAACATGCTTCAGCACTTCCACGGTGTTAAATACATCCGTAATGTCATGCAGCGGTCACCCTCACCTACCTCCATAGGTCTTTCATCTTGTAAAACTGAAACCCCGTACACATAACACGGCAGTTTCCACCTTTCCTCCCAACCCTGGCAAACACGTTTGTCTCTATGATTTTGAATGTTTTATATGACAAAGACTATGGAGTATCTGCTATGTGGCACTGTACTAAGAATGTCAGACCACTGAATTCCTCCTGTCGCCCTCCATGTGGGTACAGTTTTTATCCCCATTCCAGACATGAGGAAACTAAAGCTCAAAAACACTCAATCAAAGAATTTAACAACGATTTATTGAGCTGTAACAGTGCCAGGCATGGTTGTGGACTAAGGATGCCAAACGGATCCAGATCTGCCCCTGGGCACCTGAGGCCTCCTCCCGGAGGCCCTCTCTGTCCCCAGCAGAATATATGAGGACCCTGAACATGTCAAAATTTGTTTCCCTTCTTGTCATTCAGTCAGTAAGGGTGGGCTCTGCACCGGAGGTCCCTTCACCTCCCATGCAGCCAACTTGTCAGGAGGTCACAGCTCGGGCAGCCCTGACACGGGTGGGAGGTGAGCATGCTATACTTTTCTCCACAGAGGGGACCTGCTCGTCTCTGACTTCTGGAGCGCAGCCTTGGGTGAGTACCACTGGCCAAGGGGACGGTGGAAGGAGGGAGAGGAGGATGTGGATATGGGCAGAGAGGGGAATGTAACCCTCCTTGGAGAGCACCTTGCTTCACAGAGCTGTGTTTGTGACTCCCCCTTAGGGCTGTGTCTCTTGGCACTTAACTAAATGTGACGCTCAGTTTCTTTCTCTGTGAAATGAGGGTAATAACATCTGTATCCTGTAACATAGGCATGAGAATTAAATGAGACAATTTGGTGCTTGGAACCGTGCTTGCCCGCTGCACAGAAGGCAGTAAATACTGACTGTCCTTATCATTATTGCTGTGGCTTATTTTTATCCTGTTCTTCTTCCTGGACAGCACGGGGCAGGCTGTTTCCTGCCATCGTGATCCTTTCCTACATGTAATGTGGCAACATGATATTCATGCCCTGAGTGAGCTTACCATGGGTGTCATTTTTATTGAGGGCTTTTTTTTCCTTTATATTTTAGTTATTTTTATATAACTTTGCAGGTAGCATCTTTATGCATAAAGCTTGTGCCAAATTTAGTGTGATCTATTAGGATAAAGTCCCAGAAGCGGAATTAAGTGAAAGGCAAGTGACCAACTCCGTGTCCGTTATCATGCTGTTTCCAAACAGTTTTTCCCCCAAGTCTCTTATCAGCAAGAACCTAAAGAGCCAGTTTTCCTGCGCAGCTCTCCTAGCCTGGGGTCTTTTGTAAAGACAGCTTTGCTAATTTGACAAGTGAAAATTGCTATCTTGTTACTGGAATGCATGGCTTTTTGTTTTGTTTTGGATGTAGCTTTGTTCAACAGAATTCAGTACCAATATAATAAAAAAAGGGACAAGAACCTGCCTCTGTGGGACAGGCGTTCAACAGAACAGCATTCATTAGGTTCTTGACACCTTCAGCCTTTTTTTTTTTTAACTTTTACATATGAAATATTTCTACACCTTGACATTTATAGTGATTTTGAAAGTTATGCTCCTCTAATCTAAAAAGTATTTCAGAGCGTAGCTTGCAATTACCAGACGTCTCCTGTCAAATTAGAGTTGAGTTCACATTCGAGTTTTAGAGGAAACCGCCCATGAGGGAAAGCCACGTTTTGTTGAAAGTCTCTCTTGGGTCTGGGGCTGTGGGGGTCCGGGACACAGATCATCTGTCTGCCCTGGGTGTGGCTGTATGTGCCGGGCAGCTTTTCTGTCTGAGAGTTGAAGCCATCTTGCCCTGGGTCTGGTGGCTTGGCTCACAGGGTCAGAGCGTGGCCCCTGATGCACCTTGGCTGCGGGCTCTTTCAGAAACCATCAGCCAGTGTCTTATAAAACAGCTGGGACAACTGGAGGCTCCCGTAGGGACCCTTTCAGATGCCCTTGGAAACCTGCATCTCACCTCACCCGATGAGCAGGATGTGGCCCCTGACCCCAACCCAGGAGAGGCCCTGGTCAGGGGAGTCTGCCACATCAAGTGTGTGTGCTACGGCATTGGCAGCTTTGCCACCTGCGTCACAGCGAGAACCCAGCTTGCGTTTCTGCTTCTGTTCCTGGAAAAGTGCCAGGTGAGCATCAGACCCGCCTGCACCCCCCCTCCCTGGCCTCGTGCACTGTGCTGTGGGTGTTTGGGCTGAGGCCACTCTTCTTCCCTCGCAGATCCCCAGAAGTCACTGTTGGGTCTATGACCCTCTGTTCAGCCAGCTTGAAATCGCTGTTCTTCACTCCCTCGGGGTGACTGTTCTCCCTGAGAACGAGGTGAGCGGTGGGGAAGCGGGTGGGCCACATGAGGATCCTGACCAGAGCAGAGTGCCTCTCTGCGGTGGTGGTGGCCCCTCTCCACCACCCACTTCCCTCCCCGTGTCTGTACAGTGTGACTAATCAATCAGTCACCCACATTTTGCTTTATGTCATGGTCCTGTCAAAAAAAACTTACACAAAGAGCATGAACCACAGCAAGTCAGGTTTGCAAAATTTTTGTGAGGAGTTTTTGTCCAAAAATTATTCTAAGTTGGTATTTGCTGCACTACCTAAAACTCAAGAAGGCACAGTCCGGGTGCCTCAAATGAGTCTGTCTAGTCAGGCTGCACCCTGTCCCAGGAGAGGTAGTAAAAGGGGACAGAAGACCTGGCTGGGACCTGTGAGCAGGTCCTCCGCTGCCCCAGCACCTCCAAGAGCTTTGACATTCCCAAGGCCTCTGAAGGAGAAGCCCTTCCACAGGACAGGACAGAAGCCAGGATGCGCAGAGACCTCTGAATCTAGATTTGCATCCTCTTGGGGATTAGAGGATCATTTGATTCCTCTGTGTCCTGAAACTGCCATTTCATGGCTCATTACATAACCTCCAACAAAGGCCCTGCTGACAAGTCGGTCCCCAGTGCTGACAGGGTCCTGGAACACTGGTGCTCAGTCCAGATGGTCTTCTGAGTGCCTTCTCTGGGCTGGGCAGGGAGCTTGCCAGAGACCAGGATCACCGAGAGCCAGTCCACTTTAGGGAGCCTATGGCTACCAGGGCGTGTGGCCTGTGAACCCCAGTGGTGAATGCAGCAGTGTAGTGGGGTGCTGGGAAGGACAGGGAGCTTCTCTGGGTCTGAACTGGGGTTTGAAGATCTGCCAGGAATTTGCTAAAGGGACAGAACCAGGACTGCAGGAAGCTTATGCAGAGCTGGCTGATGAGGAGTCCACTGAGGTTTCTTATTAACATAAAGGGGGCTGGGGCTGGGGCTAGGGCTCAGTGGTGGAGAGCTTGCCCAGCATGCACGAGGCCCTGGGTTCCATCCAACACAAAGGAAGCTGCAGGTGGAGAAACCACAGAGGTGGCAGCAGCCATACAGCCAGGGAGTTTGGCTGTAGAACAGTGGTCTATGCTCCCGGGGGACATCTGAAGGGGATCTGCAGAAAGTGAGACAGGAGGCAAGGATCACTAACTACAGTACATGGAGACACCACAGCTGTCCCTCCTGTCCTTTTTGATAGTGACCCAAGAAGCCCCCTACCTCCTCCAGAGCTTTCTGTGCTACTGGGGCATACCTGTTAGGCATGATGGCCTCCCAACACCCCATCCCACATAATAGTGTAGACTAAACTGGAACAATCTCCAGTTTTGTCCACATGGGGTTTAGTTGTCTTTTTTTTTTTTTTTTTTTTGGTGGCCGGGGCAGCGGTGTTACTCAGGAGCACTTGTCCACTGAGCCCAGTCCAGCCCTATTTTGGTGTTTTATTTAGAGACAGAGTTTCACTAAGTTGCTTAGGGCCTCACTGTTGCTGAGGCTGGCTTTGATGAGATCCTCCTGCCTCAGCCTCCAGAGGCACTGGGATGACAGGTGATGCTCAGTTGTCTCTTAGCTCATGTTGACATCTGTCCTGAGGTCTCCGTCACCTGCTGAAAGAAGTATGCCCTGCCAGAGGTCACACTTGTCATTTCATGTTCCCAGGAAGGAAAGCGGAGTATTTGTGGCCAGCCCACCATCTTCTACATGCCCCACTGCGGGACAGCCTTGTACAACAACCTTTTATGGAGCAACTGGTCAGTAGATGCCCTTTCTAAGATGGTCATCATCGGGAACAGTTTCAAGGGCCTGGAGGAGAGGTAACCCCAAGAACACTGCCATTGGGTCAGCCCAGAGGTGACACCCACAGCAGACTGCCACAGGCAGAGTGCATCCCCTGCCATCCTGCCCTAGGAAATGCTGCTCTGTAAGGAAACAGCTAAAGGGGGACAGTCAGGTTTTGAAGTGCTGGGGATGGGCACCAGGGTGTCACACACACCAGGCAAGTACTCTGCCACCGAGCCTTGTCCCCAGTCCAAGTCAGATTTTAGACCCTCAGTCAAGCTGTGCAGCAGTTTAGAGTCTCTTTACAAATAATCTCTCCCCTAGTGACAGAGGTGTCCTTGAAACACTCTCCATATCTGCCATAGCTGCCCACTGCTCCGCCCCCTTTCACCTCTGATGCTCAGGTGTGCTGTCATCTCCTGGGGACACAGGCAAAAGCCCCAGGTCTTCACATCCTCTGTTTAACCTCCCCTGGTATTTCTTTAACTCTTACTATATTTAGGTCATCTCACTTTCCTACAAGTCTTAATTTAAATAAAACCATCTTCACACCTCATAATTGTATTATTTTAATTTCTAGGTTGTTGACAAGGATTCTGCAGAAAAATTACCCTTATGTTGCAAAGGTATCTGAATAAAGGGGCCTGGCGGGAAGAGGGTGGAACCACTCCCCTGCTCACTGTGGAGAGTCCAGCTTTGCTCCAGGTAGACACTCTGCCAGTGGAGACAGTGACAGCACTGTACCATCAGCAACCCTCTCCATGGGGGTGTGTTCCAGAGAGCTGTGACATTTCAGCACCCCCTTAGTGTTTTCCTGATTGCCCCTATATCAGGGTCACTGTCCAGCACACCACTGTCCTAGGGGTGTCAATGCCCTGTGCTAGAGCATCAGTAGTCTCCTATTCCTTATTTTTTCCAAGGGACGAGGTGGTGAAATTTAGCAGGAAGTGCGGACCCTGGTGTGACTGATGTCATCATGTTTGAATTTTTCTGCTCAGATTCTGGAAGGGCTGGAGGAAGTCGAGCTGCCTCAGACACCCCAGTACACAGACACCTTTAATGACACCTCTGTTCACTGGTTCCCTGCACAAAAGCTGGAACAGCTCTCCAGGGATGTGTGGGCATTTGGGGAAGAACCAGAGTATCAGGACTGCGAGGACCTTGAAATCATCAGGAAGATAACGATAGACCCTGTTGCTGACCTGCACTCACTACAGTGCACCTCACCAGCTGAGGTGCTTTTAGGATGATGTATAGCCTGAGAACTCAGTGTGAAGACCGACACTGGTCAGCCAGGTGCGGTGGCACATGCCTGTCATCCCAGCAGCTCAGGAGGCTGAGGCAGGAGGATTGTGAACTCAAGGCCAGCCTCAGCAACTTAGTGAGGCCCTAAGCAACTTGGTGAGACCCTGTCCCTAAATAAAATATTAAAAAGGGAGCTGGGGATGTGGCTCAGTGGTTAAGCACCCCTGAGTTTAACTCCAGCACCCAGAACAGGACTGATGCACTTGTAAAGCAGTGTTCTTCCTAGTGGCCTGGCCTGACCTCAAAGATAATCAAACACTGTTCGTGCACATTGCCTCTGTGAGGCACCTCTCTGGTCTATTTGGCCATGTCGATGAGGCTCTGCAGGGAGGTGGGCACCCAGGTCTTCTCGCCCTGGACAAACACCACCCCCCGGTCAATGTAGATCACGATGCGGCCAAAGGTGTACAGCTGCTTCCCCTCGTGCCGCTTGCCGATGACGGGCATGAACACGATGTTGTGTTCCTCGGCCTTGGTCTCAATGAGGTCCTTAAAGTTCATGGGCACAGAGCTGGCGGCCACACCGATGCCCCTCTGGGCCATGTTCTCGGCCTCACGGCGCTCCTGCATGGCCTCGTACTGGAAGTCCTTCCTCCGCTCCGTGTGGGTGAGGTAGGCGATGTTCTCCCGCGCTCCCGGCTGCATGTAGGCCCCTGAGACAGGGAAGGGAGGAAAGGCATAAGGGAAACTGACCATCACTTGATCTAGTCTGAGCTGTGCTCATGACTCACCCGAGGGCAGCTCTGCCTCAGACTCAAGTGACTGGGGGGACTTTGGACAAGTGGACAGTATCACAAAAACTAATCTGTAGATCAGACTGATATCAGATAACCAGGGTAAACCGCCAACATAAATGGGAGGGTCCTCCTGACTGCCAGCAACCTTGACTTCAGTCACAGCTCCGTCTCCAAAGTGTCCCCCAGAGCCTCCACTGCACGCTGGCCACTCTTAGTACCCTGGGAACTCATTCATTCCCAGCGCGGCCATCTTAGGCCCTTGGCTCCGCTCTGGGACACCCGCCATGTTTTAACTTATCCACTCAGGTCCCCGACTCTAGGAGAGCAGAGCCTGGAGGGTGACGGAGGGCCACAGACACTGAGGGCTCCAGGCAGGGAATGGTTCTGGGAACATGAAACCTGGGGGTGGCTGGGGGAGAATGTCTAGAGAAGGTGAAGATGGACACAGCCCTCGAGGGACCTGGACAGGAGAGCAGCACAGAAGCTCATCTGCCTCATTAAAGAGTGTGTAATGACGTCACCTGTGAATTCCAGCTGTTTTCAGGAAACCCGGTGAATAGAATTAAAAGGGGACAGAAATGACAGTCCCAGCCACCACCCTGCACCGCCGTGTCCCTGAGCAAGCCGAGCCAATAGGCCCTGAAACGCATTAGATGAAGCATGCTGCAGCCCCAGCAGAGCTGGCCAAGCGCATCAATGGCCTTGGCTCAGGCAACCGCACAGGACTGGGACGCTCCCAAGTGTCAAAATGTGAACCTAAAACTGACTCCTCATCTAGGCAGAGTGACTTGAGCAGCTCTGGGAACAGAGACCACGTCACCGTGACAGGCCCCAACCCATGTAATCCCTCTGTAACCAATGAGGAACGTGGAGCCCAGAGAGGTTAAGCAACTGCTCAGCGAGACACCGTCCACCCTGACCTCAAAACCCCCGCTACAAGCTACGGGCACAAGCAGCACCCCAAGGCCAGCTGGCTGGCACAGGGAGCCTCCAAAGCACCAGGCCACGCTAGGCTGGAGCAGCAGCGTCTGAATCCAGCTGCAGCCAACCTCCATCAGGGAATAGGCCCCACCAGCCCAGTGGACCTGGGCAGCAGACATAGTGGACAGAGAACTGGGTCCAGCAGGCAGCTATCCATGTACTACGCAGGCAGCCTGTGGATCCCAGAACCCGGGTGCTGTCATTCGTGTGTTTAGAGACCGGGGATGTGGGGCCAAGACCTCCACCATGGAGGATCCTCACTCACCAACATTAGAGGACACCGCCCTGTTCATGATGTCCAGTGCTTCATTAAACTTGTCCTTGACAGACGGATGGGCCAGCACCTGGTCTGAGAACATGGACTTCCAGCCCAGGTACCACTTGGTGATCTCCTCGTAATTGGGGCCATTACTGAGCCAGGAGCACAGCACCTGCCAGGAGGAAAGGGAACCTTCACCCCACAGCAACAGCAGGGCCACCTTCCCAGAGCGGCCCTTGTGTTGACACTGGTCCTCCAAGCGAGTGACACCACTTGACGGGTTTCTAGGAGCTGAGAAGTGGCACTTCAGAGCAAGGACTTCAGAGCCAGTCTGTGTCTAAGTGCCCTTACAGGAAACCTGCTGAGCTCGGCCTCCATGTCAGGGATGTCACAGTCCCTCCCCCACAGGACTGGGAGGAGTGACACAGAGCAGAGAGAGTGCTCAGGGAACAGGGGGGCCACTGTCATGACAGACGATGCCTCCCCTTGACGATGTGTGTTCAAGTGGAAAATCAAGGAATGTCCCCACCCTGCCACCTCTCCTCCCGCGACAAAGCAAACCAAGTGCACCTGGAGCCACTTGGGGAAGAAGTGCTTCTCGAGGAGCCCCACCAGGCTGGAGACGGAGATCATCCCCTCCCAGTCGATGACCCAGTAGAAGGCGTCCATGTGCTGCTGGTGGGGGTTGATAACCAGCTCACCCAGACACATCCCTGCAGGAGAAACCGTCCCCAAGGTCAGCCTTCCTACCAGCAGAGCCACGGACGACATCGGTCTTTAAGCTGCTTTTAAAGGTCATTTTAAGCGCTCACCATAGCGATTCTTAAAAATCACTTTTTTCCTCTTACCCCCAAATAACCCCCTAGTAATTTAGAGCGCGACCCCACGGCCATCCCAGAACGCCAACGGCTGTGCTGCTTCCAGGGCCAGAAACGGACCAGCCAGGAAAGCCGCGACGCAGTGACCTGCACGTCCCCACTGCAGGCTTTCAATCGATGCCACGGTAAACAGCAGGAGGGACCCCAGGGCGTTTCTCCACCGCTGACCGCAGGGCCAGGGACCCGAGGCCACGACTGAATGCACGCTCTCCAACTCCTCACCCAGCTTGGGCACGATGTTCTTGACCATGAACGCCTCCCAGGAGCCGGGGGTGAAGACGTCCTTCCAGGGCTGGAGGATGAGCTTGGCCGAGGAGTCGCTGGGGTGCCACTTCTGCAGGGCACTGGACAGCTTGCTGCGGATGGGGGAGTAGAGGGGCTCCAGCCGCGCCTGCATGAGGGGCAGCCACGGGTGGATCCAGGAGTGGATGGGGACCGTGTCCGTCAGGGGATTCCAGTTGTCCACCTGCAGAGGGTCAGGAAAAGGAGCAGCTGATGCAGCCTGAGGCCATCTAGAGCCCGCCCCGTGCAGCTGTGGGTGAGGACTGTCTTTGAGGAGGGAGGCCCTGCTCTCCTGGCCCAGGCCATGTCCCTCTCCATTTATCTTCCTGATGCTGGAGACTGAACCAGGGCCTCGGCCACAGCCCCGCCCCCAGCCCTGTTTATGTTTAGATAGGGCCACATTAAGTTGCTGAGGCTGGCCACGCACCTGTGACGCTCCTGCCTTAGGCTCCTGGGATCGTGGCCTGTGCCACTGTGCAGACTGTCCCTGGCACTCATGTAGATGACCCAGCCTCCCCTCTATGGTGACCAAGGTGCCTATAGGCATTTCACATTCCATGTCCCCAGAACTAAGACACCAACCCCAACAAACACATGACGTGTTAAACCTCATAGACCCATGAGGCTAATTTCATTGAAACCTCAAGAAATGAATTCCCTCTAGAAGGCCTGGGGGAAAGTCCCGAGGAGAGGGCTGGACTCTGCCACAGGACAAAGGGCTGTGCTGATGGACTCTGAATTCCAGGCATTCTAACAGCGGAAGGCAGGAGAAATGCTCCACAGTCCCCAGGGTCGCTGACCACAGCTGTCCCCAGGGCTTGGCCTACCTCCTTCTGCAGCTTGGGGAAGATGAGCTGGTCCAGGATGTTGTCCAGGATCCACACGGGGATGATATGTACCCAGCTGTCCAGGAAGTCCACCATCGGATCACAGTTTCTTGGCTGCCACTGGTTGACGATATTTCGAACAAAAGGCATCCAAACTTCCCAGATGAGCCTGCAGCAGGCAGAGGGCCCTGGTTACCCCAAGGATGGGTTTCCAAGCACCCCAGCCACCACCACCTCCCTAACCCTGACCACAGAACAAGGAAAAGCAACAGCACAGAAGCAGCCAGAACCAGAACCGGAGGCCCCACCTGGCTAACCTGACCTCCCCTGCCGGCCTACTTGGCCTGGGTCCCCCTGGTAGTGCCCACCCGCCTGGCAAGTCTGCTGCAGATGACACAGGCTCACAGGCCCCAGCAGAAGGCTCCTTTCCAGGTTACAGATGCTGTCCCACCTAGAGCTCTACTCACAGCTGACACCTCTGACCCTCTGGGCCATAGCTTGATGTCCCTTCCTGAGTGACCTCTGTTCCGATTCCCACTCTAAGTAAGTGCTCGCCCTCGTTACTCGCTACCATGTACCCAGCAGGCTGCACGGTGGACCAGAGCTGGCTGCAGTCCCCCAGGTAAAGCCTAGCACCCAGCATGTGGTTGGCCCTGAACAGACACTTGACAACCAGGCTGAGCAAGCAGGGAGTGGTTTAAATTCCCAGAGCAGAACCGGTGCGCAGCAGGTTAACACGGACACCTCCACTGTCCCCTGCCTCCAGCGACCCCCGGGCCAGGAGCGCAGCGCCCACCGCGGTACCTGTGAAAGGCATCTGCGGAGAGGTCCTGACCGCCATGGGACAGGATCTGGTCGTTCTCCAGGAGGCTCTTCCACTTGGAGATGATCTCCGTGCCGTAGGTGCAGTCCTGAGGAGAAGGGCGTCAGCCGGCCCTCCCGCTCTGCCCTCCTCAGCAGGGCGTGCCCCAGCCCAGAGCGGCCATAGCTCCCCAGCTCACCTTGAGGGGATCCCACTCCTTGAAGTAGTCCTTCATGAGCGGGTAGACGATGGCCACAGCCAGGTCCACGCGGTCCGACATGCGGTACTCCTCGTAGTACTTGTCCTGCAGGGTCTGGAAGACGCGGGCGCACTCGTCCAGGGTGAGGGGGTTGGGGCAGCTGGGCTGCATGCGCCGCTCGCACTCCTCCACCATCTCCAGCACCCGGCTCAGGTTGGAGATGACGCGCTCCTCGTGCTCCAGGACCTCGGTCATCTTCTCCAGCTCGTGGGACAGGTTCACCACCATGTCCCGCTCATACTGCAGCTGCCGGTCGTTCTGGATGATCTCCTGCTCCGTGAGGTCGATGAGCAGCTGCAGGTTGTGCTCCAGCTCGGGCAGGGCGAAGCCGGGGGCTTTGGCCTCCTTGCCGGGCAGGGGTGGCAGCTGGGACTGCGGCGGGAGCCCGTCGTCGGGCACGTTGTGCTTGTGGCTGATCTGGCTGTAGCTGTAGTAGACCTTCTGCTCCCGGCCCGTCATGTCAATGACCTGGAGCGGGAGCAGAAAGGACACGGGTTAGCGCCCACCATTGCTGCCCGTCACCAGGATGTGGGCAGGAGTGTCAACCACAGCTTAGCAGAGCTGTGAGAGGGCAGCGTGTCTCAAGGTGGCTCCATGGGGGACTAGATCAGAGGAGGCTTGGGGACAGAACGGGTGCAGAGAGCCCGAGGCTGGATCCCTCTGAATGATCCAGACGGAGGACCTTAGGAAACAGGACATTTGAATAGGGACTGAGTGTTAGCAAAGGAACCTATTTTCATGGAAAAGTAGAAGCTCTACTCGTCAAAGCAGCTAACAAAACTTGATAATCAAAATATGGCCTTTTGGTAAAAGCTACACACAGATGCCCAGAAGCACAGGGAAAGACCTAAAAGGAGGTGTATAAGGCATTCAACTTTGGTGACCTTGGGAGGGTGGGTACTATTGTTCATGTTTTTATTCTCTGAATTTCCTAATTTCTTAAAATGCCCTACACATTACTCTTGTAATAAAATTTTAAAAAACATAAAAACAATAAACATAGTTATTGGACTAAGGCAACTTAGGAATGAACTACTTCTAACATTTTAGGAAAACTGAGGGAATCTGAGTGTGGCCTGTGCCTCTGAATAATCATTTGTTGCTTTAAATAAGAGTGACTAGCCTAGAAAGAGCTCCCAGGGCTTCAGCCCAGATCCGACTCAACCTCGCTGGGTGGGACCTAGCACCCGTTCCTGATTGTCCCCAGATAACATGCCATGCAGCATGCTGGGCGAGTTGAGAACATCACCGGGGCTTCTTCGAGCTGGTGACACCTGTCCTCTGCCTGGCCACGGGCAGCCATCTCCACTGCCCTCAGCCCTCGGGAAGGCGACGGGAATGAGCACTGCAGGAGCACATGACAGTGGCATCCTTGCTGGAATGACTCCCAGGCCGCCCACTCAGAGATGGCAGAGGAGTGGCAGTCTCCGCGGGCTGGAGCAGCAGTGGGGAGCAGGGACTGCGGCCATGCTGGGGAGAGCCTGGGCATGAGGAGTCAGGGCCGAGGAAGCCAGGGCGTAGGGGCGGTTCCCTGAGGCAGCGCAGCCTGGGCCCAGTGAGCAGTGGGAGAGCAGAAGTGGGGAGACCTGAGTGGAGACTGCAGGAAGGTGCAGAGCTGACCCCGAGGACTCATGCTTTAGGGACCTGACTGGATACGCCTGGACAGCAGCGGTGACCCAGGAGCGACGTCACTCCCCAGCCAAGCACAGCCTGCTCTCGGGCCTCCTCTCAGCCTGCGAGTTCCACCTCTTTCCTTGTCACTTGAGTAAACCCCACCCCTTTCCCCCTGGCCTTGTTGTACTGTCCATGAAATTCATTCTCCAAATATTTGAGACAAGCACGCAGAAAGAAAACGAGGATGAGCTGTTGGGGTCAGGACGGCACGGCTGGCTGCGACCTTGGGGTTGGTGCCACTCGGCAGGCCCTGCGTGGTCAGCTTCCGACACAGGACGGACTCTCCAGCTACAGAGGCCCACAGCGCATGCAGACTCCATCCACCAGCAAAGCAGAACTTTGGGCGTGAGCTCAGACTCCAGTGTCCCCAGCACAGTGCCCTGACACTCCCCACGCTCCCGGCCAGAGTCGCTGCCAGCTTCCCGGCACGTAAGGCCTGGGCGACTTCTGTGTTCTTTATCTTGGTGGCTGTCCTAGGAACCTCTCCTCAGCCTCAAGTAAAGCTTTAGGTGCAAACTAACTGCCCAAACCCAAACCAAACCTGAAAAAAAGCTGAAGGTCTAGCAAAATGGAAGGATCCAGAACAGTCCTGCCACCTCTGGAACCCTGTCACATTAAGAACAAGGACATGCGCAGATTTTAAAGACAGGAATGTCCCACCAGGGCAGGAGGAGAGGGTTCAAGAAAAGCAGCAGCCTGACGGAAGGCAAGAGAACCCTAGGAAATGGCCAGCCATCACCGTCACCCTGGGCGTGGCTTCTCTTTCCCCCATCCTGGACCAGGTCCCCAGCCCCATACCTTGACCTGAGAAAGTTCCTTCTGGGGAGCCGTGAGCTTCTTGCTGATCCTGCCCTTGGCCTTCAGCTCCTCCACCGTCTTGTAGGAGTACTTGGGCTTCTTCTTGCTCCCACTGGGGTCTTTTCTCCACTGGCTCAGCTCCTTCTGAAACTCCTGCACCAGAGGCACGCAGTCAGTCTCCACGGGGAATACCACTGTTCACAGGAGGTGCGGCCACTGAAGCCACCAAGACAATCACCAGCTGCCCAGATGAGCGTGTGCCGGGCTCTGCATGAAGAACTGTGCCGTGGGACACTAAGCCACCTGCTGACACTCCCTGATGCCCACCCTCCCACAGGTTCCGGAGGCAGGTGCACCCCACAGAAACGAGAACAAAAAAAAGGAAAGGCAGCGTTTACCGAGCACAGACTCTAGGCCGCCCTCCTGTAAAACTCAGGAACACCACGTGTAAGATTAAGTACAGGAGAACACGGCTCTGACTGGAAATAACGTGAACCCGGGTGCTACAGCCTGCGGGGCCAGCTACTCAGGGGACTGAGGGAGGAAGGTCAAGAGTTCAAGGGCAGCCTGGACAATTCAGTGAGATCCTTCCTGGGGATGGAGCTGAGTGCACCCAGCACAGGCAAGGCTCTGAGTTCACTCCCAAAACTGCAAAATGACTTCTCTGAAGGAGAAAGAGTCTAGGCTAAGGAGACTCGGTCCAGCCCTCAGAAGGTCCAGCTTTTGTGACTGTCCCTCTTTTTCTCACACTGGCTTAAACCTGTAAATTTTTTTTTCCTCAAAAAACTTCTGAAGCCAGGCACAATGGTGCACACCTGTCATCCCAGAGGCTTGGGAGGCTGAGGGAGGAGGATCATGAGCTCAAGGCCAGCCTCAGCAAACGGCGAGGCCCTAAGCAGCTCAGCAAGACCCTGTCTCTAAATAAGATACAATAGGGCCGGGGTGGGGTTCAATGGTCGAGGGCCCTCGAGTTCAATCCCCGGTACCAAAAGAAACAACTTCTGAAGTTTGGGCTACTCTGGGAAAGTCTCCTACAGCAACACTTGCCTGGAGCTGAGCAGGGGAGAGCCCTTCAGACGGCCACGCCCCCATGGGTGTGGTCACTGCCCGCCACTCCTGGCTGGGCCACCCAGCTTGCCTACTTAACACAGACACCTGTGGGCTTCTGCATCTGGGCCCGACTCAGAGTCGTCAAGTGCACTTCATCAAACGCCTCCTCCCCCTTAACAGGAGATGGTGGGTGACAAGAACAGCAATGTCAGGCTGCTTTGTAGCATCCTACTTTTGCTCATGAGCGCCAAGGGACAAAGAGCTGCCCCTTGCAGCTGGAGTTAAAGCCATGCCAGGACCCCAACAGCCACGGAGGCCAGGAGACTGTGGAAGCCCCCTCCCTCCCTGTTGGGTCTGCCGCCCTCCCCCATGGTCTTCCCCCATGGTCTCCCACGTTCCCATCCCAGAGTTTCTCATGCACATCCTCTGGCCTCTCCATTCTCCCTGCTGGTAGAACCTTCTTTTCCTCTGGGTCTCAAATGAATACTGCAGTCCCCCCAAGATTTCCCAGGCAGCCACGTTTATCAAACACAGCTCGACACCCAGCCTCACTTTCCGCCTAGGCACCTCCTGGTACACCCTCTCTCCTTCCCCCCGTACTGGGGATGAAGCCCAGCGGCCTTTACCACAGGACTCCATCCCCAGTTCTCTTCCTTTTTTATTTTGTGACATGGTCTTGTTAAGTTATTGAGAGTTGTGCTCAATTTCTGAAGCTGGCCTTGAACTTGCGATCCTCCTACCTCAGCCTCCTGAGTCACTGGGATCACAGGTCTGCACCAGTGCACCCGGCACATCTGCCATCTCTCCCTACTGTCATTGCCTATATACTGCCCAACGGGCGCTATGTCTACTCAAGGGACACCCAGTCTCCAGCAGAGTACCCAGCCTATGGCCAAAATGAACACCTGAAGACTGAGAGGATGCATGAGAGGACGGACAGGCAGCTACCACAGTGGCACCGGACACCCCACCCTCATCTCCCACCTTCCCTTACCTCTTCGGCTTCTTCTTCCGAGTCCACCACAGGGAAGTCCTGCAGGGACTGCGTGGTCCGCTCCGAGCCATAGGCCCCCACGGCTCCTTTCCCTTTCCTCTGTTTGGCTTCGATGGGGTTGATGATTCCTGCCAACCCAGCAAGAGACAAAAAGTAAGGCTTCAGATCAGATCAACCCGTGGACTGAACAAGCCACGTGAGTACACACAGTCCTGGCTCCTTACACAAAATTTCACTGCTCTAAAGGAGCTCTGTAGCCTATCCTTGGAACACTGTCACGTCCCATATGGTTTCAAAGTTCTGAGCATTTATGCTGCTAACAGTTTGCTGACCTTGGGTTATTTATGTCCCAAACACAGATTTCCACTGCTACTCATGCTCACTGTGTTAGTGGACAAGAAAAGAACAAGTCCCCTGCAGTTGAGAACACAGGCGTGCGAAATCTGACACTCCACCCCTTGAAGGCTCAGGCACAGAGGTTTGAGCTACCAGACGCAGCGCCTCCACCTGAGGGGTGCTGCCTTCCACACAGGGTTCCTAAAACATGGGCCAGGAGCCCGCCCCGCCCTATCTGCATATTCACACCATGTTCAAGCCCTGCACGTACACGTGCAGTGGTGATCCCCCTGAAGTGCTGCTAAAGCTCAAGGTCACCCCTTCTCCATCCCTCCCAGTCACCATCACCTTCTTTCCACTTCCTGTACTTCCCACACAGCTAATGTTTCCAACCCAACCCGACTGACTGACAACAACCATTTAAGACTGGAACTCCAACCACAGAGGACACTTCGGATTGCATCAGGTTGGTGACCATTCGTAGAAAGAAGCTCAAAAAGGAAAAGTTCCTGCAGGAAGGGGCCTATTGCCTGATCTGTGTGGCTCTGACTCAAGAGATGTGGGAGAGGGACAGTGACTCACTGGAGCTGGTGGGGGAGGACCAGAGGAGACCGTGTAGCAGAGTGAGGACAGACTCGCCCAAAGCCACAGCCACAGGTCCCAGCTGCTGCGAAGGCCACTTAGAGTCATACTGACACTCGTGAACCTTTTCCTGGGAGGGAGGCACTGGGGACTGAACCCAGGGGCACTGTGCTACGAGCCACATCCCAGCCCCTGCTGAGGGCCTCGCTAGCTGGCTGTGGCTGGTCTTAAACCCGAGGCCTCCTGCCTCAGCCTCCCAGGTAACAAGCATGTGTCCCTAGACCCAGTTTTTGTTGTTTGTTTGTTTTTACCAAAACCCTCGTGAGCAGGATCACAAATTTTCCCTGGGCCTTCAGGGCACAGGATGGTTCCCATAAAGAGCATAGTGTATAGGAGTGGGACACTGCATCTAGACGAAGGCCACATGCAGGCCGAGGGACCATATGATCCAGCTACACTCCTGCCACGCACAAGACAGAACTTTAGGTGAAACAGGCTGATGTCTAAATGTTGGCCACTGATCCATGTTTTAGAAACCCGAGTCAGGACACAAGGAAGCCATGTCACATCACGTCAGCCTGGTTCAGACCTTAGTACTTTCTCTCACTCAGTGTCTTTTGTTTAACTGGGTTTTAAGACAGCAAGGGAGCCGAGGAGCACAACCGTCCTGCATGGGCAAACGAGGCCAGAGAGTCAGAGTCCCCTTAAAAGGGAAAAGGCGGAGAGGAGCGAGCCTGGCCTCCCCACAGGACTCCAGGGTGCTGCTGCCGTACCCTGTGCGTTCTTCCCAAGACCTCGCCCAGGGACGTAGCCCATCTTCTGAAGAAGCTTCTGCCCAATTCCCTTCGTGTGTCTTTCCCAGCTGCCAAAGTCCATGAAAGATTTGGTTCCTCCTGCAAAACCTTTCTGGCTGGGCTTAAAATTGCCGCCCTGCAAAACAGAATGACCAAAGTTTACTTGTGAGAAAAACTTGCAGAAGCCTGACCCATGAGAAAATGGCCTGGTGGCTACAGAGCACTACGGGAAAAGAGCATCATGAACCAAACAGATCAGTGACGCCCGTCAAGAAGGAAGAGACCCCACCGCGTGAGAGGGCCTGCTGAGATTCCCTGCCAGGAAGCCTCTGGAGGACATTACTCAGGTGACAATCCTGCGATAAAGACTCTACCGTTTTTAACTTCTTTGGTCCAAAATCTTTAGGAAAGTCTTCCTGCTTAATCGGTTTCTCTTCATCCTCAGAATCTTCCAGCACTGCCTCCTCAGCCGCCCCTTTCTTGAGCCCTGCGCTGATGAAGTTGACGGGCGCAGAGTAGTCGCGGGCCCTGCAGGCACAGATGCAAGCCCTGGTCAGTAAAGAACTCTTCTGCAGCTGGCCCTGTCTGGAACTGGGCTCACAAGGAAGTCCTCAGAGCGGACCCGTGGGATCCATTTTAAAAGAGTAACACAATTATTTGGGCTGAGGCTGAGGCTCAGTGACAGAGCACTTGCCTAGCACGTGTGAGGCACTGGGTTCCATCCTCAGCACCACATATAAATAAATAAATAAAGGTCCACTGGCAACTAAAAAATTATTTAAAAAAAAAAAAAGAGTAACATATTTATTTGTATGTCAGTATATGAAAAGGACCCCAGGCCAGGCTTCATGTGATCACATTTAACATGTTTACCTGGGACGTTCAATTCAAATTTATAGCTGAAGATACATCAATAACAATATTGAGGGGCTGGGGCTGTAGCTCAGCGATAAAGCGCTTGCCTTGCATATGTGAGGCACTGGGTTTGATCCTCAGCACCACATAAAAATAAATAAGGATACTGTGTGTTTATCTACAACTAAATATATATTTTTAAGATATCAATATTGAGTTAATTATAAATTCAAGATAAAACTTGATGACCTAATTTCCCTTTTACACTTTTTTAAATCTAATCTACCTTAAAAGTATTTGTTGTAAACATTATTTCAAGTCCAATAATAAAATAGTAGAAATTCAAATAGATAAAAATCATACTCAAGGGCTGGGGATCTTGCTTAGTTGGCAGAGTGGCTGCCTTGAATGCATAAGGCCCTGGGCTCTATCCCCTGCACCACAAAAAAAAAACACATACACAAGTAAAATTCATTAAAAGATTATATGAATGTGAAGTATGTTAATAAATATATTAATTGAACTTAGAAGCTCATATCCACTAAATTCATTTAAATATGAGAACTAAACTAAAACACCCAGGAAATTAACCTTGTGAAATGTACTATTTAAACCGTGACTGCTTCAAGACCAACACTTATGGTAAGTCACTAACCCAGCTACTTTTGTGTGAAACAACCCTGTGTGGATAGAGGAACACAGAAAAGATGTCCTGGAAAACTGCCAAGTAGAGTGGTCCTTTATAAAAGGACTGAGCTAGGCATTAAACACCCCACAGGAGCAACAGAACTCAGGGAACTTTTTCCTAAAAGATGCGACAATTTGGTGGTTTAGAGCCCAAACTCCAGAACCACGGAGCTCCAGGTTTTGTTTCCAGGTTGGTTTCAGCTTCGCTGTATGACTCTGAGTCTTAATTTCTTCACCAACAACGAGGAGGATAGTAATGGCCCCTTTGTCCTAAGGGAGCAGAGCCCAGTCTATGAAGTCCGCAGGACGAGTGGCCAGTATCTGTGGGCTACTCCTATCAGCCCTTGACCATGCAAGTCTTGACCTCTGACCTACGTATCATATGCTTTTACACCTGCTGCGGGTGAGAGGAGGCTGAACAGACCCCTAGGTTCTTTCACCCTGTTCTTTCTGGGAAAAAGAAACCCCTTAGGGGCCCAGCCTCAGGAGTCCACAGCCTGGAGGCACATATGGGTGAGTGAGTTGAGGCCAGCATAAGCAAGACTCCCACCCCAGGGAGAGGACCTCTGGCCTACACTCTCACCTCCTGGCCACCACCCTAGCCTACCCCCGCCACACTGCTGCTGGGACCACAGCCTTGGCCTCCTCAAAGAGCTCTCTGCCATCACTGGGGCTCCCTGCCTCCTTCACACACCTGTGACAGGGCTCTCCCCTTCCCCTACAATCCCGTCTCAAGTCCCACTCCCTCCTCTCCAGCCTACAGATCTTCAGTGCCCTGTGGCCACCTCGGGCCTCCAAACAAGGTCCTCTGTATACTTACCCTGTCCCACCACCTTAGCCCCTTCCATTTTCCTATCAGTTAAGGGTCACTTCTCCAGGGAACTCTTCCCTGACCTCCCAGAATAAGCTAAATACCCTCCGGGGCATTCTTGCTTCCTTCCTGTCCTAAATCACAGTTATAGTTACTGAGTTGTAGATTAAAACCTGTTGTTACCCACTAAAGTCTGAGCTCCAGGGAGACAGTGTAGAGCACAAGGCCAAGTATGCAGTAATTATTCAGTGACCACGTGCTGATGGCTACATAAGTGAAGGACAGCCTGGGAGGACCTGCTCCTCCCGCTGACGCAGCCAGGGGACTCCATAAGGCCAGGAGAAGCACTGCCGGGGAGCGGCCCCCCACTCCCATCCTCCCCACTTCCTAAGGCAAGGGGGAGGGCCCATGCAGCCAGTACCGTTTTCCTCCAAAACTGGGCCTCTCCTCATCTGAGTCACGCTCGGCCCACACCCCATAGGTGGCCTCCTCCTTGGTCTGCCAGTGGCGCTGCCGGTGGGGGTTGAACTCATTCTGGAGGTCCCAGTCGGTGATCTCAAAGTTCTCTCGCTCATCATCATCATCATCCATGTGGCCTTCCCCGTCCCGGTACAAATGGGACAGAGACATGGCCAGTTACTAGGGAAAGGACAAACAGGACACAGTGTGTGATGAGTCCTGGAGGCAGCAGCTTGAGGATTTCCTGGGAGTTTCTACTCCCGGCTGCCCTCAACACTTCCTCCAAATTCAAAGTTCACCAAAATCATTGTGAATATTCAACAAAACAGATACTATTTCAGAAAAAAAACAATCAGTACTAAGTGATGAGATCTGTAGCTGTGATGAGATCTGGCTCTTTCTTAAATTAAGATTGATAACTGCACCAACATTAAAGAATGCTTGCAAAGACGATTCAATGAGGCACTTAAAAGTCACTGAACACCTGGCATGGTGTCGCATGCCTTTAATCCCAGCAAGATGGGAGGCTGAGGCAGGAGGATCACGAGTTTAAGGCCAGCCTCAGCAACTTAGCAAGACCCTAAACAACTTTGCAAGACACCGTCTCAAAATAAAACATAAAAGGGCTGGGATGTGGCTCAGTGGTTAAGTGCCCCTGGGTTCAATCTCTGGTACTAAAAAAAGAAAAGAATATTCTTTTTTGGGTACTCAATCACTGAGCCATATCCAGCCCTACTGTGTATTTTAGAGTTGCTAAGCACTTCGCCATTGCTGAAGCCATGGCTTTGAACTCAGGTAATTCTCCTGTCTCAGTCTACAGAGCCACTAGGACTACAGGTGTGCGCAGACCCGCTGGGCAAAAAAAAAAAAAAAAAGTCCTTTTAAAAATTAAAAACAACTGAGCTCACAGCAAATAGTCAAGAAACAACAGTTCCATGCCGCAGTTCATCACCATTGGTTTTGTTGGACTACAGACCAAATCTAGCAAGGTGACTGCAATCGGGCAGATTAAAATCATTGCCTGAATTCAAACCCAACTCTACCAGATACTCAGCGCGTGAACCTCAGTGTGTATAAGGTGCCAAGCATGATGCCCTACAGAGTAATACTCATTATGTGACAGCCATTGTGTTCTTGTCTACCGACTGTTGCAAGTGGCCTTCAGGGTCAGGAGATCCCTACTTCCTCGGGCAGTGGCCGACTCCGGTCAGCTGTGAGAAAGCTGTCCCTGCTTCCTCCCACTGGGGCACTGGTTGAACGCAGCAGCTCCACCTCACCCAGGAATGCACAGGCGGGACATGTTCTCAAAGGAGGGGTAGGCCCCAGGTTCACTGGATTAAATTACACTATGCCTCCTGGGACACAGGGCACAGTGGAAACCCCAGGTCAGTCACGGGCTGCAGGGCCCCGGTAGATGCCAAGTACACACTGGGCGCTCGAGGCTGGCTACTTGATGGCGGCATTGAGACATTTCTGCAAGAAGGATACTTACACCACGCAAAGGGAAGCATCTGTCCGGGTGCCAGTGCTGGCAAGGCCCAGGCCAGGACTCGGACCTGCCTCTACCCTGCTGTCTAGGAGTCCCCAACTCGGCCCAGGCCGGGACTCCCCGAGGACCCCGAGCGGCGCCGCCCCTCTTCCGGCCGGGGCAGGGCTCTCTGCGAAATGGACCCCACGGCGAAAAGGCCACGGTCCGCCCACCCCTCGCCCTCGCCCGCACTCCCTGCGGGGCAGCATCCCCCTCATCCACGTCCTGCTCACCTCTAAGAGCCGCCCAGCGAACCGAACACAGCTCCGCACGCTCCGCGAAAAGCCCTTCCCGGCGGCGGCCTGAACCCGGATGTACCCGGGCCGGCGCGCCGGAAGTGACGTCCCAACAGCGGAAGTGTCGCGCTGGTTGCCTTGGCAGCTCTACAACGCTAGAGCGGGTCGGTTCCTGTGGCAAGGGACTAAGGTAATAGAAGAGAGAGGCAGAGGCGCAGGGCCCGAGTGTCTGGGGGCGGAGTTCCCCGCCGCGACCGCCTCCCCGCCGCGACGGCCCAGCTGGGGTGACTGGCGAGGATGTCGTTGAGCCGGCTTGGCCTAAGGAGGCGCCTGTGCCAGGCCGCGACCCTGAATCTGTACAGTGGGGATGAAGGACTGGCTCCCAAGAGGGGAGCGACGGAGTGTGGCCGGGGACGCGGCGTTCAAAACAGAATGACGAACGTCAAGGCCGCGAATCCCTGGCCCTCGCTGTAGGCGCCGGCGTGGGCTCAGTAGTCGCCTGGTGCCAGAGTTTGGGGACAGTGACGGCTAAGCGGGCCAAGTCTAGAGCTCCCAGTATTCTCTCCAGGAATATTTTCCTGTCTTCTTTCCAACCGGCTGGCGAATAAATCCCTCCACTCACTGGTCTAATTTAAACGCGCTGCGTGCCCACAGGACAGGACCCGCCCTGCGGGAAACGCCCACCCGGGGACTCCGCGCAGACGTGGAGCGCGCCGGCTCCGGGCTTCCCTCTCGGTCCAGCTGTGTCCCAGCTGGGCCTGGAGCCAGGCATCACACCACGGGAAGCCCCCCCCACCCCACCACGCAAAATGGTTGAGGATTCAGTAAAATTAACTGTGTAGGCAGGGGAGACTGTAGCTGGCACACAGTAGGTGCTTCGGAAGCGTTGGTTGTTCCTCTCATCTCCGTGTAATCAAAAAGATCCAGGAGGCGATCGCTGTAAGTGTACATGAAGTACTGGATGTGGTGTGGCTTCCATGGTTGCTATGAATTCAACGAAAACCTACATAAAGCCAGTTAAGCATGGCTCTCCTAGGAACGGGGACTGTGACTGGATGGTCTCTCTCTCTCCACAGAGATACGTGGAGTCACTGTGCATGACACATGGTATGTACTCTAGAAAGAAACTAGAGACTGGGGTTGGAGCCCAGGAGTAGGTGAAGGGAAGAGCGGAACACTGCAAAGTCCTCAAGCAGATTGAGGGAAACAAGGAGAAAAGATAGGGTTTTAAGTCTGGGCCTGAAACTAGACACAGGTTTATATGTTAAGGCCAAAAATAAAAGGAAGCTTGGCTCCTCCTAACTGTGTTTCTGGCTTTACCAGACTTCAGAGCTGCAGGTAAGTGGATGGTGAGGGCAGCTGATGCCCATGGATTCACTTCGTCAGATGCACCTCACTGGGTGGTTTTGGGACAGGGGAATCTTATGGACTGTCATGAGACAGGAGTGCAGACTGGTCACGTGATGAGCAGGTGCACTGTCAGGAGGTAGACAGAATGAAGTTATGCGCCAGTTGTTAAAATGCCCCAAGAAGATCACAGCCTTGTTCCCATCTTAGTCCTGCCAAAGATGCAAAGTCTAATCAGGAGGATTTAACAGACAAACCCAAATAAAGGGACATTCTACAGAAGAGCTAGCCTGTAACCTTGGAGTGCCAAGGCCATGACAGTCAAGGGAAGACCTGGAACTGCTCCAGACTGAAGGAGACTACAGAGATGTGACAACTGAATGTCATATGTGGCATTGAAATAATTAAATAATTCAAATAATTAAATGCCCCAGCACAGGGCAGAGCAGGGCAGAAGTCACTGAGGCTGACCTACTGGTTCTTTGCTGGGGTCTCTTCTGATCACTTTCCCTGGCTTAATTCACTTAATTCTTTTTTTTTTTCAGTGTGGGGGAGGTGTACCAGGGATTGAACCCAGGACGCTCGCCCACTGAGCCACATCACCAGCCCTATTTTAAATTTTATTGAGAGACAGGGTCTCACTGGGCTGCTTAGTGCCTCACTGTTGCTGAGGCTGGCTTTGAACTCCTCCTGCCTCAGCCTCCGGAACCGCTAGGATTACAGGGACGCACCACCCCGCCCAGATGGACCTATCTGAGCCAACCTTAAAGTGATTGGTGGGCATTCACGGTCACAAGCACAAACGCCCTGTGTACATCACTGTGTCTTCAGTTCCTCAACCTTCAAAGATGGTTTCCTTTACCCTGTCTCTATCCACATGCTGACCACTCCCCTATGCAGCCTATGGAACACTGCAGTTTCCACATGGCCTCCAAAAAAAATTTGGGGGAAATAAAAAAGCTTTGCTCAGTTACAACTTTAAATAGATTGATACCATAGAAACAATCCTTAAGTGGTGTTTCCAAGCTGATATATTTAAAGTCTAGCACATGTACTTTTTCTAGGACAGTGACATTATGCAGTTGCACATGGCTCATTCTTATTTTGAAGTTTGTCACAAAAATATATATGGTGTCCTGAACTTGGCAGAACTGAAAACCCAGATTGGCTGAGATTACAAATTTGATTTCCCTTTAAGTGCTCCTTGCAGATGGTTTCTACTTATATTTCAAGAACTTGTGAAGACTCTGTCCTTATATAGAAAGCTGGGACACAAGTTTCCCCAGATCTCGGACATTATCGATAAAGCAAGCATCCGGCAAGAGCATACGTTTCACTTATTCATTAACATTATTTTTTATATTTGGTATCAGGCTCCTTAATCACTGAGCCCTTTTTTGTATTTTATTTAGAGACAGGGTCTCACTGAGTTGCTTAGGGCCTCACTGTGGCTGAGGCTGGCTTTGAACTTGCCATCCTCCAGCCTCAACCTATGGAGCCCCTGGGGTTATAGGTGCGCAACACTGCACCCAGCTCATTAACAATATTGAACAAGTACCTAGCCATTGTCTACCACAATGTCACAGTGACCTCCAAACTTAGCACCTTGAAACAACAGAAAACACCTCACGCCACTTTGGGCAGGAAGTGGCAGGGGAGTGGCTGAGCTGGGTGCTTCTGACTCAGCCTCATCTCTCCTGGGGTTGCACTCATCTGAAGGTTCCACAGGGGCTGAATCATCCACAGGTCTCAGTTCCCTGCCACGGAACCTCCTGAGGTCCTTTATGACCTAATCTCAGAAGTCACACTCGGTCATCTCTGCAATTTCCTATTGATTACATAGCCCTTCTTAGGGGCGCCAGGTTTAGCTAATAACCTGAATTTCAGGTTAAATGAATACTATTTTTGATTATGTATCATTCAACCTTGAAAAATACTAAAAATTACCCATCCTCTTATCTGGAATTCAGATGTAACCAGAGTCCTCTCTTTAGTCTGCTGCCTGTCCTGATGAGTACAGGAAGGAAAACGTCCCAGTGAGGAGCACGGATACCAGGAAGCAGCTTCACTGGGCGCCATGCTGGAAGCCAGCTGCCACACCTGTGATGGCTGGAGGTGGCTGTCAGTGGGGATAAGTGGGGCAATTTTAAAAAATGCTTCCCACTCTCCTGGGTTTCCAGCCTAGAGAGTAAGAACAACTTGAATCAACCAGCAGGAAAATAAACACAAAACCTGAATAAAGTGCTTCGGAGAGACGTACCTGGTGCTTGGTGCAGAGAAAAGTCATACACTGCTTTCCGGGTGTGATGGCCCATGCCTGTCATCCCAGCCACTCGGGAGGCTGAGGCAGGAGGATCACAAGTTCAAGGCCAGCCTCAGCAACTTAGTGAGACCCTGACTCAAACTAAAATTCAAAAAGGGGCTGGGGCTGGGGCTCAGTGGTTAAGGACTCCTGGGTTCAATCTCTTGGACTATTAAAAAAAAAAAATCCCAGAAAGAGGGAATAGCTGCTTTTCCATGTGACTTTCTGTAAGGGTGTGAAAGGGGCTGAGATGGTTCTGCTGCTAAAGAAGGATCCAAAACCCTGAATGCACGGCTTGGACCTACATCAACACACACAAAGGACTGCGTGTAAAACATGGTGAGAGTAAATAAAAGTTTGTGGTTTATGGTATTGTACCAACGTCGGTTTCCTAGTATTACAGCTGTGTGAGATGTCCACGTGACGTATCTGGGTGAAGGATCCATGGAACTCTCTGCACTAGTTTTGCAACTTCATATGAGTCAATAATCATTTCAAAATAAATTAATAAACAATCTGTTGAGGGGGAAAAATAGCTTGTTACAAATGAGGTAAAATCTGAATAATCCAAACTGTAATCCCAGCGGCTCAGGAGGCTGAGACAGGAGGATGGCAACTTCAAAGCCAGCCTCAGCAACTCAGCGAGGCCCTAAGCAACTTAGTGAGATCCTGTCTCTAAGTAAGAATCAAAAATGGAATGGGGATGTGGCTCAGTGGTTAAGTGTCCCTGGGTTCAATCCCAGGTACCAAAAAAAAAAAAAAAAAAATCAGCATGATCCAGACTTGAGGAAGGCCTCAAGACGGAGGAGGGCCTGGCGGATGAGCCAGGGGCTTCCACCAGGTGGGAGAGAACTCTTGTGGTTTATTATTCTGAGCAGAGCTCAGAACAGTGAATGAGACAGACTTAAGGATGAAGGGTAAGAGGTGTCCACATGATTCCAGACCCAAATTTGGGGTGAGGGAAGGCTGGAACACCCCCATTGGTAGGAGGAGTCAGAGGTTGGGGAAACCCTCCAAGAAGCCGGGGTTGTTGGTGCCCTTGCCTGTGAAGGGCTTAGAATCCCTGGAGGTAAGTGAAATCCTGGCGGTAAGGAAATGTGTGTTCTCATTTTGTACCCCAAAGGAAGAATGGGAACACTCCCGAGCGTCAGTGTTTCTGGAGGTCTGAAAGTCATTTGAGAATCTGCAGGTGAGGCCCATCTCTTTTGGGATCTCCGGCGAGGCCGATGGTATGTTCTAAAGGTGGCTGCATGAGTGTCGTCCACACCACATCTACTCTGCGAGATGACCTTATTACCCACTTCAGTCTGTCTCTCCTTGATTGCAGGAGGGCTCCTTGGCTATGTGGAAAACCCAGGTAGAAGTGCCACCGTGCCAGTTCCTGGCATACCCTTTAAGCTCCCCTGCTCCTGACCTCTTGTAACATTTGCTATGGGAGGAGCCGAGCCCACGGGAGGAGCCCGACTTCCCTGGCCCCCCTCACTCTAAGGAAGCCCAAGGT